CTGATTGTGAACTGTTGTAGACCTGTTTTAATTCTGCCGGATCAGTTCGGGGTCTGGTTGAATTGGGGTTTAGTCCTCGTGTCTTGATACCCCCCATCCCACATGCATACTACCTTAAGCCCCGGGCGTATCAAATGTCTGCCTCTGCCTCTGCTGGGGCCTATAAAAGTCTTAACTGCCTTGATTACTAGGTACTGGGTTTCCTTTCATAATTTTTATTTGTATTCGAACCTTAAAAACATTGAGCTGAAATGTGCATAGTGAATAATGATGCAAATGATTGCATGTCGTCATCTGTCAGCTACTTGTCTAATAATTAAGACTCACATTTCTTTATAATCTGTCACAGTTTGGGAAATATTCCACGTTTTGAAGATCAGACGTGGTTGTGTTCAGCTGGCAAACAAAAGCTGTGCAGTACAGTAATTACCTTTGAAGTGTAATGCATTAAAAGCTTAACATTTCTTGAAATGCAAGTACAAATACCTCCGACATTATTTGTGAAAGTCAGTTACACGTGAACACTTAATCCCCTTGTTTGTCCTGAGCATTTCTGGACTGGTGAAGTTTCTCCAGACAACCTGCTGATTAGATGAAATTGTAATCTGAGCACTGCAGGTTTTATTTGATTTCTGTCAGCATAATAATAAGATCTAAATAACCAAGTTACTTCTAGGTTACAGTGACCTGCTGTAGGTCTGTTCTCATGTTACTTCATGTGGAAAACCTGACCTTTCTTCATAAATGCAAAAACAAGTTGTTTGTGGGTTGTTATTTTGGAAAAGAAACATGAGCTCCATGTAAATATCAGCCCTGGTTTTGATTATCAAATATTCCAACCAGGAAACCAAATTCCCATGAAACCTGCAGCATGCGTCCTTTGGAGGATATGCAGCATAATTAAGATGTATGGAAACTGCTGCTAAGGGCGTGTGCCTTATTTAATGGTTCAGGAACGAGTTTTAATTTTTGAAACATAGGAGAGAACAGTGACATAACAGTAAGAGAAGAGCACAGCGATATAAACAGTGAAATACGTGAAAAAGAGACCGTGTGTGTGTGAGGAACTGTTGTGGGGGCGTGCACAACTCTATTCAGATCAAAAGCAAACATTTGTGAAGGAGAGAGGATTAAAAAAAAGGGAAAGAAAGCTAAGAACTACAAAAAAGCTGTTTAAAACGTGTTTTAGATGTTTTAGACGAAAGGAGAAAATAATAATTAGAATTTGTGCAATTTTAGGGTCTGTGTGTGTATACCACACACCCGATATAACTATATATATATATATAGATATGATATAATAATGACAGTACACTTTATACGCTAGAGAGATAAATATGCACAGTGCATAAACACCGGGCTTTTAAGATAACTTAATCTTGTCACCACATGCAGGAGAGGTAGAGTAAAACACAGGCGTTACACTAAATGCATGCAATGTGAAGTTTTTCAGAGTGGGTCAGTCTGTCATTTATAGCTTCTTTTCCGCATATAAAATTAATTATTAATTTATTACGTAACCACAGTAAAACATTTTGTGCACTCAGCCTTTTCACACTGGAGTAAATCGGTGCATCCATGCATGTGCCGTTCATGGGTGAGGCTGCAGGGATGAAGCAAATGTTAGTGTGGTCACTTTATCCCTGCCTCCTTATTTTATCACCATCTTTTTTTTCCCCCGTGGTATTCCTCTCACAGAGGGGAGGGGGACAGAGAAAGGCTTGGTTCTGTTGTCAGATCTGTCAGTCTCGCCACCCCGGCCCCTCCCACCTCAGCAGAGGCATTACATACTGCCGCTGCTGCTCATGCTCTTAGCAACGGTGCCTCGGCAACAGAGCCACGGCAACAGAGCTCCACGGCAACAGCGTGCCGTGTGTCTCCCCAATGGAGCTGCCATTGGGCGGACCGGTGCTCAGGCACTACACCCAGAGCAGACCGAGACCTCACCGACAGAAACTGAACTATCGTCCCAGCAGACCGCAGGTACTGTGCAGGAGAATCAGGGAGGTTTCTGTAAAAATGGAGAGTGAGAGAAAGGTGTGTGTGTGTGTGTTTGAGGGAGAGAGGAGGGAAAATGGAAGGGAGGGAGAGAGGAGAGATGGAATAGGGTACAGAGGGGAGAGGCAGGGGGAAGGGAAGGATGGAGGGGGAGTGCTGTAAAAGATGCCTGGTCCCCGGCTTGAATTAGGCAGTGCCATTGTACCGGTCACCGGCTGCTTCAGGAAGCCAATGAAATCTGCCTCTGTGAGAGTGGGCGCTCGTTTTCTTGCTTTCTCTTAAAAAAAAAAAGGAAAAAAAGAAGCCATTCAGTTTCTTCATGTGATCGTGTAAAATATGTGTGTGAGCTCATCCGTTTTCCACTGAGCTGATCACGCTGTCACAGAGCTATTAGGCTGCAGACATTCAGTCACTCCCTTGGAGACAAATGGCCTGGGAGACAAAATTCAAGCAATTCCCCTGACAGGATATCATGTAACGGTGACTTCGGCTAAATTTGCCTTCTGGACTCGAGCCTCCCCCGACTTTCATTGCTACTTGTGGGCACAGATGTTAATGTGATCAGGACAATGCGGCTCCCAATTTTGATATCACGTTACCTATATTGGCAAAAATGAGTTATGTTGCTTCCATTCAGCGTTTAAAAAATCCAATGACGACCCCCTCCCACTCCACCCCCCAGCACCCATTGTACGTTACTGAGCAACTGAGTCCAGGGAGGCCGGGATCGTAACATAAATGGATGAGAGAATCAAACCAAAATACACCTATAGAGGCATGAGGAGTGCTAGGAGTGTGTGGGTTTTCAGAAGTGATAGTTATGTAATGTAAAGTTACATGCTGTAAGATGCGAGTTGTTCCTTGTTAGTTTGTGTGATCCGTGGTGCAAAATATCTGATTTCTGTGTGTGTGTGTGTCTGGGGGGTAATTAGGAGACAATAATCGAGAGTGAAAATGAAGTCCTTGAGCTCATGGGGCGTGTGGATGAAGGAGTTGAAGAGTTCTTTACTAAGAGAGTACTGCCTGCTGATACACTGTGAGTATCACGGCACACAAATTAGCCCCTTCATGTTCACCCGTGCAAGTGAATAGACCTTAAACTGAGACATACGACTCTTTGTACAGGAAGCTGCAGGATGAGGAATCTATCACAGTGCACGAAGTGGCTCCTGCCAGCTCTGTCCCTTGTCCGGCCCCGACGAAAACCCTCCGGAGGAAGCTGGGTGATTTCTTTACGCTCAAAAAGAGGCGAGGTTTGAAATCAGAGACGAGCCATGAGGGGCGTCCCAAAAAGGCCTCCATCGCTGATCTCATTCGCCCTCTCAGGGAGGTTGCCAGATCCGAGAAAGACAAAGACAAAGACCGAGTAAAGGAGCACGACAAGGAAAATGAAAAGGAGAAAGCAAAAGAGGCTCCCACTGCTGTTTCTGGAGAGCCAGCTGTTCGGGAGACACCTGTTTCTGGCGCCCCGCCGCTGAGGGGCGAAGCAGTGCCTCCCCGCCGAGCTCTCAGAGAGGGGAAGTCCCAGTCTCTCATTTTGCTATCTGGCTCAGCAGCAGCGGGGTCGACCAATGCCAGAAACACAGCAAAGGTGGGTGTTGCTAGAGTTAATGCCTGTTTTTTTAGTCTTTTTCATTAGTGGATAAGAACTGAAAATTGGTTTGCTGCTGCTGCTTTTAGAAACAATTTGAAGGCCAGAATAGCTTTGAACAGAAGCTCCATCTCATGCTTCAGCGTATTGGAGTTTCCAAACCCCTGCCAGGAGAGACACAGGTTTGCACATCTGCATGTCTGAATGTTGTTATGGATATCTCAGAGGCCTTAAAAAGTACTAAATGCTCCTTTTTTATGTAGGATCAAGAAGGAGAGATGAAAAAGGCCGAGTCTGAAGGTATGTGCCTTTATCTGTGATACGTTTAATAGTCTTCTCAGCTCCAGCGTAGTATTAATGAGGCTAAATTAATCTTTGAAGTCTAGGGATTTGTGTCAAAAGGATAGGCTTCTCGACATGGATCAGTTCTCCAATGAAAAGATTTAGTATCTGAGGGGCTGCGCTGATAAGCCAAGCAAGATGTGGTTCTTTCAGTCTATTATAGGGCCATTAATTCCTGTGGTAAAATGATTTTTGCCCTTCAGGTACCATCATTGACAGTAAACCCGAGCCACCTCCCACTTTCTCAAAACCTCGAACGATGTCTGCATCATCAGGTAAAACGCTGGTTTACGCTCTCATGTGTACAGAGTACAGTAAGTGAACCATTTTCACATTTATTTTGCTTGCTTTTTAGACACAAGGCATCAGATTCGGGCAAGTGTGTCAGCGCATGAAGGAGCCGGGAAACCCGCTCTGCTTCCAAAGCCGGTTATCAAACCGGGGCCACCCCCCACAACGTCTGGCCGCAACACACCTGAGAACGAGCTGGCCCAAATACAGGAAGCAGAGACACACACGCCCACTAAACTCAGCCCAGCCGCGGCGCCGTCACCTCCGGCCACCACCGCTCCCACTGCACCGACAATCTCAAACGCGGTCCCCGACTCGACCGACTTTGAAGCTCCCCCTTCGAGTACTGTAACTCCCTCACACGCAGATGTATGCACTGACTCTCCCGCAGCAACCTCCGTCCCCGAAACTACGACCGCACCCACAGAGCCCCCTGCCAACGCATCCGTTACCCCCACCTCCTCAGAGTCTGTTACTCCAAGCCTCGCTGTCACTTCCACTTCAGCAGCAACAGTTGCCGGGCCTTCCATTACCACCTCGGAAACTGTTTCTGCTCCCAGTCACGAAAGCCCTGTTTCCACGGCATCAACAAATCTGTCAGCCAAATCGACTTTGCCAGAGCCAAATGGCGTTCTCTCACTTGATGTTGCTCCTGCTGCTGGTGGTGATGCAGCTATTTCTGTCACCACCAAAGCTTCTGCGCCCTGCACCAGCGACTCAGATGTGCTGCCGGGCTTGTCTACCACCACCATCAGCGAAGTCAGTCATGAACCAGCTTCAGTCACATCCAGTAGCTCTTCAACATTAGTCACTATGACTACATCACCTCCCTCTGACTCAAGTGATGTAATTACAGTAACAATTTCACATGACCCCACCTTTACCGCTTCCTCCACCATGGTCTCTGCTGCCCTTCCTCCTACCACCTCAGCACCTTCTACCACTCCTACAGCTCAACCTCAACCCCAATTATCCACTGACTCCATTAACTCCGCTTCTTCATCTACCGCCATTCACCCAGCCACTACGTCTGTTCCCTCAACCTCTTCTAGTGAAACAAACCCTACAGACACCACTTCCACTGCTACCAGTCTGAACCGAGCAGAAACCACCTCCACCGCTAGTTCGTCAACCTCCGGTGCAATTAGCTCCCCACTCACGACTGGGTCAGAGCCACCTTTTCCCAACAATGTTGACACTAAGCTCACACCAACTATCTCTAGCCCGCCCACTACCGATAACATAAGTTCTGCTGCACCACCCGCTAACGATAGTCCAGGCCAAGATAACGTAATCCAGCTATCTGATGAGAGATCCGGTGTAGGGCCTGCAGAAAAAGGCACTGGTGAGTTTTAAGTTCTGCTTGTGATCTCTGTATGTAGGTGCATGGTGAATAGTGTGTTTTATGATATTGTTTTTCTTTTAGCAGCAGATGGGGAACAAACGAGCAAAGTACTTGAGGCAGACGAGAAGAAGGAAGTGGTTGACAGTCGGAGCCAGAGTGAGAAACCAACCATGGCCCAGAGTGAACCGACAACGAAAGAAGAGCGGGGAGAAAGTGTGAAAGCTGAAGCAGACACACCGGCTGAACCTGCAGCAGTGGAGGATGGTGAGCGCTGCACAGAGGAAGCAGTGATAGTGGGTCAAAAGCAAGAGGAAACTAAACCAGTGAGTGATAAGTAAGGAAAAAAAGAAAATGCTAAACATGGGACCAACTACTGTGACAGAGGAGGGGGCAGGAGAGGCCACAGTAAAGGGTGAAGCAGAGGGAGGGGAATGATGATCCATGGCACTTCCTACAGGGACCACCACATCACAGCAGCACACCACAAAGGGTGGGCCACTGGACCAAAGAACTGAGATCCCCTCGGTGTGACGTAATCAACAAATCCAGCAGTGTCTTTGTCCTTTTTTAACTTATGTTCGAGGTTTTGCATTGCACGTGTGATTATGTACCATAAGACAATTATTGTGGTAAAAAAAAAAAATACACAATGTTTACAATAGATGGATAAGAGACATAGTTATGACTATTAAATGGAGTATTGAAGTGACTGTGTGAAATCATTACTTTGAGCAACTTCATCTCAGCTTTTTGTGGAGGTTTTTCCCACATCTACAATAATCCTCAGCCTCGATTATGGCCACACACACTGACAGATTTTAATATATTCATAAAAGAGCAACTTTCATCTGCAGAGAATGAAAGTTTGATAATGTTGTTATTTTTATTAAAGTCAAATGCCTTTAACTTTAGCAAATTTATTTGTAAAAGAGTTGTTATTAAAGATAAATGGTAATGTATAAAAGCCTAATTAAACACATTTCATAGCTGGGTCTTAGTGAAACTGGTCTTCTACTTATCATCTTTCAATAAACAACTCTGGTATACAGAGTTGTCATACATCTGAAAACTCAGTCATACATATGAAATAGTATTTTTCCTTTTCATTTCTATGAGGCAGACATTTCCAAGAGTTTCCTTTTTTTCATCGGACTACATTTAACCACTGAACATCTGTGCGAGCTGTGTATTATCAGGAAAGGTGTCACCTTTTGCATGTCAGCTAACTTACATAACAAATTTCATCTCTCGGTTTCGTGCTACCGATTTTGCACATGTATACAATGGCTGAGGACGTTTGTTTTTTTTTAAACATATGATTGCCGGTATGCAGAAACTGCGTGATGAAAGGCCTGGAGGGTGAAAGGAAACAGTTTAAACACAAAGAGTCTTACTTTAGGTGCACGTGATATGCAAGTTCAATATGGAGGGTTAATACAAGAGTTAATACAAAGTAGAAATGAAAGGCATTTGTTGTAATTTAGAGGCATTTCTCATTTGACTTGACTGTGCAGAGCTTGTGATTGTGGATTTCTTTTTGCATCAGATCCAGATCCCTGGTAACCCAAGGGGTTCTGTCTATATTACCCCCCTCGAGCAACAAGGGGGGATATTTGCTGGGCCTGTGGTCTTCCCCTTGTCCTGCTTGGCAGATCAATATTCAACATCCTCTGTCCAGTATATCCACAATCCCTCCTCTGCACATGTCCAAACTGTCTTCAGCCTTGCCTCTCAAACCTGACCTCTCCCCCTGACATACCAATTTTTAACCTTGATATAAGATTAAATGAAAATGTGAAGTGAAAATCTGAACATCTTTTTTTGTTAGTGCCACTGTCACCACACCATATGTCAAAACAGGTCTGACTATCATCCTGTAAACATTCCCTTTCACTTTTGCGGCTATCCTTCTGTCACAAATAAACCCCATCTCCACCTTGTCCCTCCTACTTGAACTCTCTTTTTCACCTCCCTCGTGCATTGTCAGTTGACCCCAGGTATTAAGACTCATCCACTGTCACTACCTCTGCTCCTTGCAGCTTCATTGTTAAATCTTTCTCTCATCCATTCACAGCTATTCTGTCTCGAATCTACCAACTTTTATTCCTTTTCTCTCTAAAGGATACCTCCACCTGCTCTCTTTCACCTGGTCCCTAATCTCACAACAGATCACAGTGTCATCTGCAGACATCGCAGTCCATCATAGTCTGACCTCGTCTATATTCTTGGCTGGAGGGGCTCAGAGTATACTCCTGATGAAATCTCATCCCCACCTTGAACCCATCTGTCCTGCACCACCCACACATACTTCCGACTCGTGCCTTTCGTATGCAATAGAAAAAAT